ACAAGCATGGTTTTCTGTGAGAAGCAAGAAGTGAAAATAATTTAATGTGTATTATCAGCATATGAATATAAATAACATATTGTGATGTCAATCAATGGAATATTTACAGTTTTGAAAGTAAATAAGCTAATTATGTGTACATAAATATTAATGAATTCCACAAATATATTTACTGCAATGAGTTATTAATAAAGTGTTTGAAACATATAACATCTTACCATTTCTTCTTCATTATCTATGTAAAGCAGATTAGAGTTCTTGGAAGCACAAGTCCTCAAACTCTCATCCCAAGTCTTGAATTCCTTACCAATGGAATAACAATTGGTGGAATATGTGAACCACTCCTCTGGACAATGACCACAATCACATGCTGAGGAAAGACTGAATTAGTATCCACAAAGAATATAAATTTTTTAGAATAAAAATCAATCTATGTATTTGTAAAGGTATAAACTTACATGCACGTAACATATCTCTGCATCCAGAGAGCTGATGCATGTAAAAAACACATTCTCGCTCATATACACAAGCTCTGAAAATGATCTCTCCTGTCCTAATTATGTTCCCACATAAAGAAAAACATTAAACAAAATCCACTCTACACATGTCTGAGAAATCACTGAACAAAACACCTTTTTTAGACTAGCAGAACTATTTAATTCTTATCATATGACAGCAGTAGTAATTTGAGTAAAGTGGCAAAAAGAGGATATAGTGATTTTAAAGAGCATTCCTACTTATTGTTGAAGAAAAGGGAAGGTCCTCCTACAATCTTTATTTATGAACATTTATTGTACAATATTCTAATTTATTTCCCTCCAAAAAATCTATCATATTTTTGCACAAAGATAGAGATAAAATATAAAATGTACCTTTCTGAGTTTTTACACTCTGGAAAGAATTGTTCTGCTTCTCCATTACTGTAACTAGAAAAATTAAAGTAATCCTTAATAAATAATTAGTATCTAAATATCCTATTCCCTGATCTTATGAAATGTTCAGAGGCACTTTCAATTATTAAAGTGAAAAGTTTCATGATAATCTTTGAAAAATATACTTACAGGGAATACGAGCTATTAATACCATTTTTAACACAGAGCCCACTAGGACAATGCAAATGATGGCCAAGATCTCAGCAACGAGCTTCTCTGGAGGTAACAGTGAAACTGCAGGGAGGGAAACAGAAACACTGAGGAAGGAGAGATGGAGACAGTTTACATACCAGACAACCCCCATGTACAGGGAATCAAAGGGATAAACTCTTGTCTCTAAACCCACATCTACATAGTAATCTTTCTCTCAAAGTATACTGTTGCATATTCAGTAAATATAATGCCCCATGATTCGTTGATGAAGGCCTACAAATTTAAAATGCCTAAATAAAATTAGCCTTCAGATTCATATTAGAATACCATATCCAAACTTTGAGCTCTCGTCCTCACAAATGAAAAATATTCCCTCATCTTTCCCACAACTCTTCACCAAAACTGTATATCCCAGAACAATTATTAAGGATCTAGTAAATGGTTACCTTTGTAGTAGCAGGTCTTCTCCTTCCCCTGGAGATCCGGAGGAGCATTTTGAAGGTGTAATTCCACTTGGGTTATTTCCTGTTCAGTTACTGAAAGGGAGCTTTTCCCGCCCTTAGATTTTCTTTCCTGCCTCTTTGAGTCCTTGGCCAGATTCACTCTTTGTTTCTTCATCTCTGCAGCTGTGTGATTCAGAGATTTCTCTGTGATAATGTACTTAAGAAGTTAACAAATGATTTATTTAATGGTAAGATCCCTTATGTAGTCAGACTAGGGTGTATCGGGGGCTAAGTAATAATGTTCATTTTGGGGGTGAACAATGTAAAAGTCTGATACTAATTTCTTTAAAACTTTCTACAAAGTCTTATAATTAAACAGGTAATTTTCAAAAAACAAAGTCTACATTTGACATAATATTATTTGTTGGAGTAATAAAAAATGATGAACTAGTGAGGAATAGAGGCTCATAAATACAAATATCTTTATTAAAGTCAGATCCTACGGAAACATTTTAGCACCATTAAGAATATGCATGTTCTCGCACTTGGGGGGGGACCAAGGGCAACATACGTAACCTAAACATCTGTACCCCCATAATATGCTGAAATAAAAGAAAAAAAAAGAATATGCATGTTAAATTATTAAAATTCTGTATTGGAAATAATGCACTAATTGTAAGACACTTACAATTCATTAATCATGAATAATTGAGTGCTATGAGATGGAGAATAGTAATACTAGCTCACATAGTGATTTCATAATATTAAAATACTTTTAGTTAGTGATTTACATTTACATTTAAACTTTAAGCCCCCATGATGTCAAAATCCTAAGGCACTTTCGTTGTGTAAATAAGTATGATAATTTAGATAATGTAATCTGATAATATAGTCAATGAGCTGTGCAGTCACTGAGATCTAGAATTATATCTGGCATTGAAATTTATAATGTGCAACCTTTGAAAGTTACCTAGTGTCTAATAACATAGTTTAGTAATCTAGAAAGGAAAAACATAATTTATAAATTTTAATGTATGTAGAACACTTAATACATACATGGAAATTATAAGCTATCAAAATATTTTAATTATTTTTATTATAATTGCTCCATTATTATATCTGGTTCACATTAGTTAGAGCACGTAAAATAATTCATCGATAAGAGTCTCTTATATTATCATTTTGTTGCAATGTTTTGCAAATATTTTAAAGTATTTTAATTATTTTTATTATAATTGCTCCATTATTATATCTGGTT